AAGAAAACTGTTTCTAAAACAAAATCTGTTAAAAAAAATTCCTTTGATTTTAGCACTGATTCACACAGACCTCATTCTCAAATTACTTGAAAGCTTTACCTACGATGTCAGATCTTAACCACTGTTACCAATCCTTTTAGTGTTGTTCTGTTTATACTTTTATAAATAGAAACCCTGTTTATAGTCTGTTGCATATAGTCTACTGCCAAAGTTTAAAATTACTTCTGAGCATCATGAAATAGTGCATTTTCCCCCATTAAAAAAATCTTGATTCTGATGGATACAGCAGATGAGGACCTGAGAAGAAGTGGATATGAACTTATTAATTAAGGGATATGATTTTGGAAATCAGAGCAAATTTTCTCTTTTCTTTGACTTTAAGTACCATATTCTAAGACAAAACATACTCTAAGAGGTCCTCAGGTCTATGCAAATTTACCTGCCTTCAATACACAAATAGCAAAGACAAATAACTCATTATTTCTGCAACTATTAGATAGTATTGAGTTTGTCCCAAATTCTAAGATTTGAAAAAAACAAAGTGAAAAGTCAAGCAAATATGGGCCCTAGTGATCTTAACAGATAACAATTAATACTGCAGATGCTAAACAGTTTTCTTGATAATTATTGAATTGTTTTTTTGTCAGTTTCATGATATCCTTCTGTTGGCTTCAATTTCAGAATCTATAAAGTTAGACTGGGGAGAGATCAACCTCAAAATTTTTATGATTTAAAGAATTTCTTAAGTATGAGATAAGTATATTGCTATGGTTAATAAATACTCTTTTTTCAATTTATGCAATTATTTATTTAGTTCTATCTTTGTTCAAGGATGGCTTACTCAAGGTAAAGCCAATATGGGTTCCCAATGGTTCCCAGAGGTTTTGCCAGGCTACATGCAAAAGTCAATGCACAAAATAGCACAAGTATCCTATAAAAGCTGCAAAAAAGAAAAGTATGATGTTAAGTCCACGCCATTTCAGGTAAGAAAGTTCTGGTTAATAATACTTGAAATGCTTCAAAAGTTTACAACATAAACTGCAAAAACTGTCCTGGGATTTAACATTTTTTTGTTATATTTCCAGCCAAGAGAGAGTTCCCATAAAACTATAATCTTCCAGAACTGCAAAATGAGGCATCAGCTTGGATGTGACTTAGGGGCAAAAATCTAACTTCTAGATTACCTTTTTTTCCTTGGTACTATCTATTCCAGCACTAGGCAAGCAATTGAGATTGGGAAATCTCACAGATTATAACCTAAAAAATGCAGGGACACAAAAATAACACAGCAATAGCAAGTCAAAGCTAATTTCAAAAGATAGCAATCCAATCAATCACACACTTCCTAAAAGAGGCAGTGGAGTTTTTAATTGTTGGAAATAAAATTAGATCTAAGTTCCTAAATTAATGTTTAACCATGTTTGGTCCACAGTCGTCGTTTGTTAATAGTTGAGAGTAGACTCTTTTGTTCTCTTGCTTAGCAGGAATTAATTTGATATTCAAAAAGAAGTAACAATATAAATATATAACTTCTTACTCTATAATAAAAGAGGAAAGTGTGCATCATCAAAAAATAAAGTGGCCTAGTGCTTCTTGACCAAAATAACAATGCCATTTCCTTGGGTGCTGTCTGACTTTTAGAGTACCTTAGCTCTGAAAAGATTATAGCGCCCATCCCCAACCACCATGTAACAAAAAATAACAACAAAATATTAAGTTACAAATAGTTTAAGGAAATACCAAAAAGACTATTTAAATAAGTAGGTTTTGTTTAAAAATATTTAAGTAGTCTAATAACAAAAATTACTTAAATGTTTTAAAAATAATAACAAATATTCCTCCTTCTAAAAATGTGTTGCTGTTGTTTGCTTATATTTAAACACTAATTCCAATCAAGAAACACTAGTTAAAAACTAAAGGCCTATCTGTAGATGTCCACACTACAATTGAAGAGCTTTAGGGCCACCCTTCAGAAATACTTCTGAACCAGTAAGGAAATAGTCTTCAAGTCAGTCAGTCATGTTTGATGCTGGAGAAAATGCAAGCCAGAGGAGGCATTCACTTTGTGAGTAGACACATGCATCTGCACTTAAAGGATGATTGGATAGGACGCCACCTTCATGTCAACAGTGGGGAACAGATTTCAAAGAGCCTATATCTCCAAAAGGGCTTGAATTTTTGCCGTCTCTTCCCAATCTGTTGGGAAATAAACACAGGAGTAGATGGTAGCAATTTCCGTGGGTTGCACACCTCCTAGTGGAAAATTGTCAGTGATAAGAAAGTGTTGGCAATCCAGGTGGTCTTTTTCAAAAGTTTAGCTTCTCTTTGTTGTAACAATACAAGAAGCAAAGTGATTCAGTCATTTTATTGCTTGTGGCAGCAGATTCAATTCTCCCATAATTGAACTGTGCCATCTTGAGATACTGAATCTAAACTTTGGAGATTTCAGCCAAGGCCAGAAAACAAAGATGAAAAGAGCCTCCTAAAGATAAATTATGCTCCAAAATACCAAAGATGCTTATATTTATGAAATGAGCTTTTAATAGTAACTATAATTTATTCCAATTGACAATAAAACAAAAACCTTAATAAGTTCTGATTTTTCACATTTAAAATTAGAAAATATTCCTAATGGTCTGATTTATTTCAAGGTATTACAGAACTCTTACTTTCACCAAAAATTCTTTAATAAGCTCTATAGTTAGGTCCATAATATAATGATACATAAAGCATGTTAAAATAACAGAATGCTTCTGAAAAATTAAAGAAAATTCTAATTATATTCCATTTAATTTTAGTATTATGTGTATTTTACTATATTCTAGCTCTAAAAAAGTGGTAATCTATGTACAATTTACATATAAACAATTTTCAACTAATCATAAAATATGTTTATTATCTATATAACATTGCAATTTCAGGACACAGTTCTCAAAAAGGTCTGATTTCCAAAGAAAATTCAAAAGGGAAAAAAACTAGAGGTGTTTTACCTTGATTGTTTCTGTTTGCCATATTACATGCAAACAGAAAAATTAAGAGATGCTACACTGAATGCAGCAAAAGAAAAATTTAACAAAGCTTCTTGACAAATATTGAAAAATTGAATTCTGACATTACACAGCTATTCAGATTATTTATTCAGCTCACATAGAGAACATTTTTAGGTGAGCAAAATTCCTTCTGTACATGTTCAGAAATGCATTTCCAACAATAACAGCTGTATTAATTCTAAATCAAGCTGTCATTCAAATGCAAAGAACATATCCTTTGTTTAGTCTGACTCACAATACTTATCAACTTTTTTTCCCCCTCATTCTCTGTAAGATGAGTAAGGAGGTTTTTAAAAAATGTTTGAATACAATTCACTTTTGGCTATCACGCTACACAGAGAAAATATTAATCAACTAAAAAGAAGAAATCTTGATAAAAGTTAAAAGACATTATAAGTTAATAAAAATCTTCTGACCTTCAGAAAATTTCTGACAAAATTTGTCATAATCTAAATAGTTTGTCATTTTGGAAAGATAACTGAAATAATCCTAATCTCCCACCTACACAATAAATAAAATAATAAATTTAACTGAGAACGGCATTTTAAATTGTTGTTTTTTATGTTTTGCTCTCAATTTGTAGTAATATTAAACGATTTGTGAGGAAAATAAAGAAAAATCAACCTAGTACACATTTTCAAATCTGTACTCTGAAATTTTTATCATTGAAGTATATACTACTTTTGTCAAACAATATGATTTTGTACAATACAGAATAAGTTAATATGTACTTGGAAAAAGATCACTTCTCTAAGGTAGAAATGAAGAACAAAATATAGACAAGATGCAGAAAGAAAACATATTCTGTTTAAATTCTGCAATTTTTACTTGAATATCTACTTGCTATGTCTTTCTAATATCATTATTTGGGGAGGTGGAGAGCATGTGTGGCTGGTTTGTCTTTTGTGTGTGTGTGTTGTGTTTTGTTTTGGTAAGTTTGTTCTTAGAGCACTCTTTTACCAAAGCCACAGATATAATTAAAATTCTTACAATAATGAAAAACTAGAAATTCTTTTTTGTGCTAGTTTTATCTCATGAGAAGAAAAAACACTGATCCTAGGCCAGCCCGGTGGCGCACTGCTACAGTGCGCCGCTTGGGAGCGCAGCGGTGCTCCTGCCGAGGGTTCGGATCCCACATACAGACCGGCCGCTCACTGGCTGAGCGAGGGGCGGGCACAACACCAAGGGTTGCAATCTCGTTGCCGGTCCCGGTCCGGTATGGGCGCGACACTGAGGGTTGCGATCCGTTGCCGGTCACGAAAAAAAGACAAAAAGGAAAAAAAAAAAAAACCAAAAAAACACTGATCCTAAGTCAAAAGCTAAATGCTGTATGTTCAGATTTTGGAGCAACAAAACTGTGAAGACAGCCAAGCTATAAAAGCCCATTTTCAGATCTGGAACAAGTTCTGAAAATAAAGAGGGTATTTGGCATACCTTGTACTAAGTAAAAAGTCTTACTTTCATTATTCCCTGATTTTAAGGATCCAATAAAAACCTTATGGAATAAAAACTCTTGCAAAAATCCTTCAGTGAAAACCTAACCAACCACCACTACCCCCCTCTTAAAGTAATGAGAGTTGATACACTATAAAGTATGGAAATTCTTACTTTTTCTTGTGAGTTTTAAAAGATAGATTAAAAGGTTTTTTGGCTTTTTAAACAACATTGACTTTAAGCACCTAAAAGATACACAATTAAAATACATGCATATTCATTCTCAAAGAAACACCAACAAAAATTAAAATGTTGGTAATTAGGTAAATACTGATGATGCAAATATAGAAGTATTTGCCACTGTGAAGGGCCTAAGCACAATCACATCTTGTCCCGATCATACCTGACTGCCAGAACAAAACAGGCAGCTGACCAATTACAGGGTGTTTATCTATACAGTGGTACCTTTGTTCTCCAACAATGTCAGACTGCAAACGTCCTGGAACACATATTTACCTGGAGGATTCTTGGCAGGATCATTGTGGCTTGGACTTCCTGATTGTCCAGAATCTGTAAAGAAATCACAGAAAATGTTTTCTTTTAAATTTGTTTTGAAAGAATTTCACAATCCTCAAAAGGACTTAACAATTTTAAGGTACAACAATGAAGTTGAGTGTTTAAATAAAGTATACTTTTCCCAAGCCTTTTGATAGCAATGTTTTATTCATCAAACTAGATGGATGTCTATATATATTTCTATGTCAAAAGAAAAATATAAGTATTGATCTATAATATTCTTGGGATAGAGCAAGGCTTTTTTGAAACAAAAGGTCTGGTTACAAAGCCACTGAAGATCATTTGAAGGTTAAGCAAATATCAAGGCCTGTCAGTAGCAATATGAAATAAAGAAGATACATTCCCTGAAAAAATGCAATCTCGGCCGGCCCGGTGGCGCACTGGGTAAGTGCGCCACTTGGGAAGCGCAGCGGCGCACAATTTTAAGGTACAACAATGAAGTTGAGTGTTTAAATAAAGTATACTTTTCCCAAGCCTTTTGATAGCAATGTTTTATTCATCAAACTAGATGGATGTCTATATATATTTCTATGTCAAAAGAAAAATATAAGTATTGATCTATAATATTCTTGGGATAGAGCAAGGCTTTTTTGAAACAAAAGGTCTGGTTACAAAGCCACTGAAGATCATTTGAAGGTTAAGCAAATATCAAGGCCTGTCAGTAGCAATATGAAATAAAGAAGATACATTCCCTGAAAAAATGCAATCTCGGCCGGCCCGGTGGCGCACTGGGTAAGTGCGCCACTTGGGAAGCGCGGCGGCGCTCCCGCCCGAGGGTTCGGATCCCACATACAGACCGGTTCCCGCTCACTGGCTGAGCGAGGCGCGGGGGCAACGCCGAGGGTTGCGGTCCCGTTGCCAGTCCCTGGTCCGGTACGGGGGCAACACTGAGGGTTGCGATCCGTTGCCGGACACGGAAAAAGACAAAAAAATAAAAATGCAATCTGAATGTAACTAAACATGTTTTAAAGAACCTGAAAATACATTTTTATTCAATGAGTAAAATACACAGAAGAGTCCGCTTTTCCAGGATTTCACATGCTTGAACACATATCCACTCCAATAATCTCCCAACTGACTGGATCCAGGCCCAGATTTGTCTACATCCCATAATAGCAATCGATTTGCAAACACCAAGAAAGGCATAAATTACTAGGTAGAAACCAACATGGCTTTGTGGGGAGCAAATTGTTGGATCAATTTAATTTCTATCTGTGATAGATAGACTTTTGAGATAAGGAGGAAGAGATCAATGTTGTATATCTGAATTTCCTATCCCACATTATTCCTCATCAATGCTACCGAAAGGAGCGTGGAGGACAAACAACTGTTAGGCAACAAGCCTTTCCTGACTAATCCAACAGTGTTGTGTTTTGCTCACTCCTCTTTCCTTCACGTCCCCTCTGCATTTATCTGTGTCATTTGCTCCATATTATTACACACTTACTTGCAGGTTGCTTTGTAATCTTCTTTTATTGGTTCTAGTATTTAAGTGTTGTCTCCCCAACTAAATTGCATGCTCCTAAGCAAAGGCAGGGATTCTGTCTACATCTTTTGTGTCTTCCTCAGTGTGCCGTTCATGGCTGTGAATGTACTAAGCTTGTAGTAAATGCCAGAGGAATGGATGGCTCAGATTCAGCTCTTTCTTTTCTTGCCTAGAAAAGGCAATTTTGAATCTGATAGTGAATTTCAAAAAATCTGATAGGTGAACACAGATGATGGCTCTGTCATGGACTGCTATAGACTTACAAGTCTCTTCCCCGAAACACTGCAATTATACTTGAGCCAAGAAAGGGATGGTCTTGGTTAAGCAGAAAAATCATCTGCTGTTTTTCTTTCATCAAGGTTATTCTGTTCTTCCAGGTAAGTGATTAACATACTGTAGTTGCTGCTTCTACTATTAAATGCAAGAACATTCTGTTAGTTTCTTCCTGTATAAAACTTGGTTATTTATTTCTGCCCTTTGCCTCATGCCTGCCAGCTTAGATTTAATGCTGAGTCCAGAATTTACCTCTTCGTCCCATTTCTTTGTTTTTTTTTTTTTTAGCTCTAGAACAGATTTCGTGCAATCTCAGCATACATATTTAGTGATTCCCACATTATCCTCCAGTTTGTTCCCAATTTCCCAACATGGAAGTAAAAAAATTAGAAAGGACCTCTCTTATAATCTGGATTCTGGCTATAGTCTCTTGCAGGTAGTCAAAGAGAACTGAGCACTCTCTTAAAATCTTATGTCTCATTTCCCATGAATTCTTCTATTACTTTTTCTGGAACTGAGGCAAGATTCAGTGACATAACTTAGGAGATCAATCTTCTCTTTCTACGTTCCTATGAAAGATGGTAAAATATTGGCCACAGTGCAGGCCTGGAGTATGATAGTTACCAAAAAACCCTATAAATCGTATTATTTTGCAACGGCCTCAGCTATTTCTGCCTCCAGTTCCTCTGACAAGTGTCCTTCAGCATTGATCCTACATTCCAGTTTGATTCCTCAACTGATTCTAACATTTTGAGGGGTTCCTACTTATGCGTAACATGCTTGCTGACCAGAGCCTTCCCATGTTTTGTCTTTCTCTCTAAAGCTACTGTATATTTGTGAAGGTCTGGTTATGCATCTGTCAAGATGGCTAATGCCACCTTCATGATGACACAACAAGAGGCAGGTTAAAGTTGTCATCAGGGGGCAAGTTGCAGCAGCAGCTTCATTTTAGGAGTTGTAGATTCAATACATGAGCCTTAGCATGCTTAGTTATATCAACTTCAAATTGGTACCACAAAACTCTTTCCCACCATCTACTACTAAATTTTGGGCCTAGTAAAGAATGAAGGTCTCCTCCATTCCTAAGAAAGTATTCAGTTAGAACGATGGCATCGCCCTTTACCACAACATCCCACTGGGAAATGCTATTCTTTTCTGCTGCAAATTACTTTTTCTTCCCATTTCCAACAATTGCAGACCAACTTCTTCAATTGAAAAAATATACTTATTTCAAAAACCACAAGCATTTGAGGGAAAGCTGAAGTAGACCTTAAATTTGAGTCACACATTTTCTTTTTGTAACATTTCCACTTTCTAGAATGATTTGATGTTTACTGGCACACAATGACAGGTTTTTCTTCATACTGAAAAGTCTGTGCCCTCTTCTGAAGTAAAATAGAATACACTGTGTCCCAAAAACACAGAGAGGGCCCCATCAGTGGGCGAGCAACAGAACATTTACTTTTCAGACTGTAAATTCTAACACTATAATCTACTCTTAACTCTTATGTCACCTTATATCAGTCACTTAATTCCAACTGCTGGAAAAGGAAGTAACCAGGGAGTTGCAGTTGGCAGAGAAACCAAAAATGAACTGTTATTGTGGTTGACTTCAGAGAAGGAATTATTCAGACCACATCTAAAACCCCTCCAATTCACCACCTAGGTCAAATTACTCTATACCCAAAGGTTTTATTTAACCACTTCCATCACTGTGCTCAATTCCTCTGTGTGTGTGTGTATACTTAACATGTTATAATGAATCCTGACTCTGTCCCTCCCTAGTGGTGTGATCTTGTGCAAAATCACTTAACTCTTAAAGCCTTGGTATCTTGATCTTGAAAACTACAATAATCCTATCTACCTTGTAGAATCATTGCAAAGATGATATCAAGCACCAAACACTCGGTCAGACACATCCTACATGATCAATAAATGAAAGATACTATTAAGCATACAGCCACATTAAAAATGAGTAATATTTTTAGTGAACTAACTCTCACAATGAAAGGAAGAAAAGGGACATGACCAAATGTTATTCATCCCAAGTGCAAGCATCTAAAAATGTCTGTGGTGGGTCGACTGCATATGGAGGAGTGTGGCCTCCTGAGCGTTCCTGTGTACATGTTTAGTTCTGTGCTCCCCAAAACGGAGGAGGGCACTGCTGCCCCAAGGCTCTCAGGAATGAGAGATGCTCAGAAAACAGTAGCTACCAGCCAGGTGATGGAAATCACCTTCCAGAAGGCTGAAGTCTTTGTGGAAGAAGGCTGGTAAGCATAAGAGTTGTAAGCATAAGCATACTCAGCACACAGTCTTGATTAAGTCTGGAAAGATTGTGATATGGTGGAGAAACAGTGAGGGGAATGGCTTTGGAAGGCAGTCAACCAAAACCAGTCCTCCCTCACACCCTCCAGTCTTCATTTTCTCTTCCTTCATCTCACTCTCTATTTTTTACATTTCTATGTTTATCTCTTTCAGACTTGACTGGACATAATGTTGAACTGAAATACATTTTGTATTGCATACTCATGAAAATCTTGTATTCCCCATTATTTTTTAAAAGTGTGAAATAAACACATTAATTCTTCTAGAAAAAAGATAATTAATAAAGCAATTTCTAAATTATTACTTTTTTTAACTCAACCAATTCCTCTGACTTGACTGGACGTAATGTTGAACTGAAATACATTTTGTATTGCATACTCATGAAAATCTTGTATTCCCCATTACTTATTTTTTAAAAGTGTGAAATAAACACATTAATTCTTCTAGAAAAAAAGATAATTAATAAAGCAATTTCTAAATTATTACTTTTTTTAACTCAACCAATTCCTCCTCCCCCAGGTTAAAGATTCTCCAGGAATAAGAGAAGGTTCACACCCCTGCATGACCCTTACCAACTTTTCTTCAATCCTTTCATCCACTCCTTTTAAAAAAGCAGTCAATCTTTTATGGCTCTTCTAATATCTAAACTTTACCTAAGGAGTGACCAGGCTTCCCTAATGACCCAATTTTATGAAAGATCTGGGGATACTTAAGTGATCTAATGGCTTGTCCAAAGTTACGTGGCAACTATTAAGGAATATGTTCTCTGTATGAACCACTTACTCACTTTGCTTCTTGAGTGATTATGATGCAGTCTTAAAATTATGCAAAGTCAAATGATCTTCAGCCGTTTAAATGTTTCTGGGAACGTTACCTTCTCTTAAATTTCCTCCTCCTCCTCACCATTTAC